GTGTTCCCTCAACGTCGTCCTCAGAAGGTTTCAGGCAGAATGTTCCACTTTTGTTAACATGTCACGTTACTGGAACATTTAATGAAGAACGTTTTATAATTCGAGGTTATGATAAACGTTTTTATAAATGTTGTGTTGAGAACATCCTTCCTTTATTGTCATCGTGGAAATGTTTTGTAGAAGAACGTTCCATAATGTGTTCCCTCAACAAAATGGGAAGAAAATTCCACTTTTCTTAATATGTCACAAACAAATTATATAAACTTTGTGTATAAAAAAACGTTTTGTCGCCTGAGGCCTCAATAACATCTAGAAAACATGTTTTGAAAGTTGGTTTGAGAACGTTCCTCCTTCGTTATCATGGAACATAATCTGTGTTCCTCATTTAAAACATTCTATTAACTTTATATCGAGTTACTGGTAGTACTGTGATAACAAAGGAGGAACGTTCTCAAACTAACATTCAAAAAGTGTCTTCCAGGCGTTATCGAGGCGTCAGATGATTTTTAAAGGACGTTCTTGTGGAACATATTTGCCTGCACATGAAGTTCAGATGGTTCACGTGTCTCTGTGGTTGTCGGCCTTGTTGTCAAATCTGTTTTTCGTTTCTTTTTTCTAAGAGAACTCTGAAGCTGCGATGATGGTCATGATCTCCCACCTTCAGCGTGGCAATCTTCTTTCGTTTGGGAGGTTCGATCTCCACCACCACCACCTCCTCCTCCTCCTCCTCGATGTTCGCCATCGTCAGATTGGCTCCATCTGTACGAAGAACAAAACTTTATCAGTTTGTTGATCTGGACGACACTCGAACGTGTCGGCATCGTGTCTAAATAAGCGCTCTGCTCACTTTTTGGTAAAAGTCCAGGCAGTGATCTTACTCAGTCGGACAGAGTAGCAGAAAACAAAACACACATCTAGTGGACACGAGAGGAACTGCAGCTAAACATGCCAACGTATAATATGCGTTATTATGGCTGAAATGTGACAGAAGGGGTTAAACTGTACCTGACTCAGCTTGTTCCTCCATCTCCTCCTTCTCAGCAGCCTGCAGGCAGCAAACACCAAAGAAGTCATCGATTACAGCAGTTATTGTTTTATTTAGAGCTAAAATATGGACATTTTCATTGGTTTAATTAAAAGTTGTTTTCTTTATTCTGAAGTTACAGGAACACGTTGCAAACATGACAGAAAAAAACTAAACTTGTATTGTAATTATGGTTTCACTTAAACATCTAAAACTCAAAACATGCCGGCAGGTTTGAGATATGAAGGAAAAATGCAACAGGAGCAAATAAACAGCCAGAAGCCGCTGCTTGGAGTTCAGAGGATTAATTGCTATAAAACTATAAGATTCAATAGTTCTAACAAAAATATCCTGTTGCTTCATAAGAATGCCTTAAATCTGGCTGTTGTTTTTTTTTAATTAAAAAAGAAAAGAATTACAGGATCTGTGGAAGGCAAAAAGAAACACCTGTTTATTTATTTCCATGTTAAATTAATTTAATTGAACTTCACATTTCCAAACATGTTCTTTGTGTGTAAAGTCTGTAGAGTTATCCTTCTTTCAAAGTTTTAATTCACCTCTACTCATGTCTTGATTTTTAATTTATATCTGCATTAGTCTGTCTCAACCTCAAAACTCGGGAAAGTTATCTTTAAAAATGACTAAACTGGCACCATTTAATAGTCAGAAAACTGTAAAAACAGAAAGAACCAGATTTTGAACATTTCAGCTGTATTTAAAGTAATTATGTGTAACCAATCTTCAGCTAGAAAATGTGACATCTAATCAAAATCATTCTTTTTTAAATTTGACCAAAAAAAATTAAACATTTGCATAAAACAAACCTGTTCTTTGCCCTTCATTTAAAGTTTTAATTTATCCCTACTCATGTCTTTGTTTTCTCTCTGAACCTCAAAACCCACTGGTGAGTTGGAGGGCATGCTATGTTTAACACCATTTATCAATCAGACAGTGTGGAGACGCGAAGAATCAGATGTTGAACATTTCAGCAGTGAACTAATCATACAATTATGACATTTCATTAAAATCACTTTATTCTGTGTATCTTATTCATAAATTTGACAAAAAATTAAAGTTTGCTTCAGAGAAACATGTTTTTTGAAGTGTAAAATCTGCAGAATGACCCTTTATTTAAAGTTTTATTTTATCTCTAATCATGTCTTTGTTTTTAATTCATTATCTGCATTATTATTAAACACTTTAATCTTCATATTTCGGAGTCTGACCTGCCTCTCCAGCTCCTCCAGGGACGCGTAGTATTTGGACCACCAGTCCAGCTCCTCCTTCTCCGGCGCCTCCTCCTCCAGCTCCTCTCCGTTCTTCATCAGCTTCTTCAGAGGCGCCTGCACCAGTTCATTTAAATCAGTCAGCAAAGTGCACATCAGCTCGTTTTTTACATATTTTAAATCTGATTAACAGCTTCAGATGAGTGTCTCCAGCACTCTGGGGAGGGATTGATCTACTCACATTGACCAGCTTGATGGGGTTGATGGGGATCTTGGACTGATTGACCGTCAGACCGCTGAGTCCGATGTTCTTCATCGACATCAGAGGGTTCATCTTCACCGAGTTCTGTCTCACTGCAGAGACAAACAGAAGAAGAGCGTCCAGAAAACAACGAGTGCCATCAGAGAACTTTTCTCTCAGAAACATGACGTCAGACTCAATCAAGAAACTTCAGTTAATTCTCACTTCTAGTTTTAATTAATAACAGATCAGCTCAGTTAGTTATTAGACGCTCGACAGCAGGGTTCTGGACACTTCACATAGAATCAGACTTTATTGAAAGCAAGAAGCAATATGTTGAATTTGCTTTATGATGACAACTCATGAGATTAGATTTAACTTCATTGTTGTTGCACAGAGACAAAAAAAATGCAGTTGAGCATCCAACCAGAAGTACAAAAAAAAAAAAAAAAACCCAGTAAAGCGCAGCTATATTTGGAGAAATCCACAAATCTGTTCTACTTGGGTTTGGTTTATTAAGTAATATTTCAGTTTTTGTGGTCTTTAGAAGCCATTTTGTTCTGATTTATTTCTGTTTTTATATACATGTGCACGTTACTTCTATTTTCCTTTTATTTCTTACTAAAGAGACTTACAAATCAACTTCACTAAATGTGAACAACTTTCTTCATAAATCCTTTACTTTCAATTAATAGTTGTTTTAATCTGTGGTATGAGTTGAGCAGACCGGACTGTTCTGCAGTGACGCTGCTGTTTTAATTCACAGACTCATGATGTGGCCTCAAAGACGACATGTGCGCTTGTCGGACGTCATGAAGTGGCACCGAAGACTTTGTCATGGTGCCTCTTTACCAGCTAAATCACTACAGTTCTCTCTGCTTGCCAACATTACCTGCCTGCCTCCTTTTACAGTGTCAAACAGTAAAACGCTCCACCTGGTGGTGCAGCCAGGTACTACAGCTAATCGTCAACACCTGTATTAGTGTATTATCAGGACTGGATTTGACTTGGATTGAATCTGAGCCATCGAACTTGATCTTGTCTCGTTCTAACCTTTTGGCTTCGGTTCCTCCTCTTCCTCCTCCGGCTCCCTTTCGAGCTCCCGGGGGCCATAGTTCATGAGGTTCTGGACCACATGACACCCGACCAGAGCAAGTTGACCGAACGCCCGATGCTCCACCACGAACACCGTCAGAGGAGGATGGAGGTAAGACTGCTCCGGCAGCTCCTGGTAGAACCGAACCCAAACAGAACAAACAGGAGAACAGGTGGTTTTGTTGTGTCTCTGTTCTGTATGAACATAATGGAGAATGTTCTGCAAAGTTCTACTGGTATTATCAGTGGGAAGTTTTCTTTTAGTTGCCAGAATGTTGTTTTTCAAGATAGAATAACTGAAGATGTTCTAAATATGTTTGGTGACAACATTGTTGGATCATTGTGTCTTTATGTTCTCAACGCTGAATGTTACACCGAGAACGTTCTTCCTTTGTTATCATGGCACATTTCGGGAAATTGCGGAACCGTTCTATAGATTCTATAATGTGTTCCCTGAAACGTCCTTAGAACATTGCCAGAATGTTCTACCTTTGGTAATGTACCACATTTATAAAGAACGTTCTGTCATCTGAAGTCTCCATAACATCTTTGAATATTGATTTGAGAACATTCTACCTTAGTCATCATTGTGGAAATGTTTTTTAGAAGAATATTCTATACTGTGTTCCCTCAGCAGCATCAATATAAAATACAAACTATTGTACCATTTATATATGACATTATGAGGACGTTATAATACGTTCTGTACAAATAAAAAGAAACATTCTGTGGTCTGAGGCCTCGACAACATCTGGAATACATTTTTTGAATGTTGGTTGGAGGACGTTCTTCCATTGTTACCATGAGAGGAGAACATTCCTCAACAACATCTCAAAAACGTCCTCAGAACATTGGAGGCAGAATGTTCTACCTTTAATAATATATTACAGAACAGGAACATCTAAAAAAGACATTCTGTAGAGACTCAGAGGACTTCACAACACATTGAAAACTTTCCTGAATGTTGGTCTGAGAACATCCTTCCTTTGTTATCAAGAACTTTCTGTAATTTGTTCCCTCGATAACATCCTTAAAACATCCTCAGAACCTTGCAGGCACAATGTTCCACCTTTCTTAACATGTCACATCACAGGAAATAATCTGAAGCCTTCATAACTTTTGAAAAACTTTTTTTGTATTTTAGTTCGGGAACGTTCCTCCTTTGTAATCATGGAACATCGTCCGTGTTCCTGACAGCTTCCTCTAAATGTTGACTGTAAAACGTTATATCAACTTCACAGGAACATTACTGGAACATATTTTTTCAGGAACATTCTTTGAACATTTGATTAAAATGTCTTCTTTAAAAAATGACTAAAACCAGGTAGGTAGCGTTAACTAATGTTGTGACAACGTTCCCTTTCGGTTGGGTTAGTAACTATAACTCGTAGCCGTCAACGGGAACTGACCACGTCGATGTAGCGGACCACCTCTTTGAAGTTTGGGTGAACCTGGTAGTTCTCGACCTCCTCAGACTCCAGCTGTCGTCCGGCACACTCCACCCTCACCAGGGGGCGCTCCACCTCAAACAGCTGCACCCGCTTCAGCTCCCGAAGACCCCAGAACAGCACCTGAACACACCACAGACAGAACAGCGTCCTACACTGGACAGAAAGGATTTGAGGCTTGTGTGAGACCTGTTTTATGAGGTGCAGCTGTTATCTTGTGGGACTTTTGGAGTTAATACTCGGGATGTTGATGATTGTCCATTAATCGATTAGTTTATGTTCATTTCTACTCGTAGATTCTGTTTAACCAATTAAAAACAACACATTAACCGATAAGGCAAGTCAAAACATGCATTGCACATGATCTGTAGTGTCTGTCGTGTCTTTCAGGCCAAAAAACAAACACAAAACACACCTAAAGCATGACAACAGAGTGTTGGTGTTTGTCTGAGTGAGTGCAACCTCGATCCTGAAGGTCTTCATAACCGGTCGGACTCCTTCTGGGATGACGTAACATCTCTGTTCGTCCATGTAGGTCAGCTCATGAGGGTCCACGCTGCTGGGGAGGCAGGGCTGCAGAGGACAGGATGTTCTGGTTCACTGACCACACTTAGCATGCATACTGTGCTTTTGTGTTTAGGTTAAAGGATCATTGTTGTTTATCACAACTCTGACCCTATTTTAGTAGTTTGGTCCATGTTTTCTACTTTCAGTGACCAAGTTAATCAGTGTGATTGGTCAACAGAGGATCAGACAGGCTGGACGCAAACCAACAGATATGTAGATAAACCACTAGATCAAACAGCTGAGCAACAATCTAAGAAAACAGTGGTTCACACAGGTACAGTAAGTGTAGTACAGTATAAAATAGAAGCCACTGGGCTCCTGTGTCATATCGCTTACATGTCAAATAATTCAACGTTGCATCAGCGTTTAATAACTGCATTGTTTTTTAAGTTGAAAAACAGGATAGTTTTTGTTTTTGTTTCTTATAAACAAACAAAAACAAATATTTTAGAAAAGACTACATTGAAAATTACAGCACTAAAGAAACTGAATACAACAAAAGCGAATCCAGCTGTTATCACCGAAACTAAACTGAGTCCAGCTGTGATTTCCAATCAGTCTAACTGCTTGAACATGGTTCTAAAATGAGCTGTGAACAGCAGAACCTTCTCAGTTGTGGACCTATGAGCTGTGTCTATGTCTGCATCATGGCTCCACATGGAGAAGAACTGAACAGAGGAACTGAAAAATCTGACTGTGGGACTTCACAAAGATGGAAAATGATTCAGGAAAATAAACTAAAAACCAGTGAAGCCCAGCGTGAGCAGTAACCAGGAGGTCTAGAAGGAGCCATAGTAGCTCTATCGCATCGTCCTGACAGTGAAGAAGGAGGTGGAGGTGATGGTATGAGGCTGCATCAGAGCAAAAGGTGTTGATGACATTTATAAATGAATGTCTGAGGATATAAACCAGAACACTGTCTGACTAGACGACTCCCAGTCTGCAGACAAGAACGCTCTTATTTTCTATCTTTTCAAGTGTAAACACAGAGACACTGACTGATTGATTGATCGACTGTTTAGTTGATTGACAGATGTCACCTCTCCAAATCCAGAGTAGTCCAGTTCAATGAGCTCGAAGGCTCCCAGCAGCTCTCCAGCAGGAATCCTGCCCATGCTGATGTCATAGAAGTGGAGGCTGGGCTTCCTGTAGAACAACTCGACCGGTTTGAACTGAGGCTCAGCGTAAGCTCGACCCAGAGGCTTCGGACTGCCCTGCACACATAGATGGAACAGGTATGGAGGTAATTAAAAGAACACTGCAGCCAGAATGTTCCAGCATTTGTTACTATGTCACATTACAGGAACGTCCTTTAAAGAACGTTCTGTCATCTGAGGTCTAAATAACATCCTGAAAGCATTTTCTAAATGTTGTATTGAAAACATTCTTCCTTCATCATCATTGCGGAAATGTTTTATCGAAGAACGTTCTATAATCTGTTCCCTCAACAAAAAGGCAAAATGTTCCACCTCACATACAGGAACGTTCTAAAAACGTTCCGCCATCTAAGGCCTCGATAAAATCTGTGTTTCAGATGGGTTTTTTGAGAGTTGTTTTGAGAACGTTCTTCCTTTGTTATCATTATGTTTTATAGAAGAATGTTCGAGACTATGTTTCCTCAACAACATCATCAGAACATCCCCAGAACACTGTGGATGAACGTTCCACCTCTGGTCATCCGCAGTGTTCTGGGGATGTTCTGATGATGTTGTTGAGGAACACTGAACACTGCAGATGAACGTTCCACCTCTGTTCATATATCGCAATACAGTAACGTTTTATAAAAATAATCAGAGGCCTCGATAACATCTGGAAAACATTCTTGGGATGTTAGTTTGAGAACGTTCCTCCTTTGTTATCATGGAACATACTCTGTGTTCCTGACAACTTCCTCTGAAAGTTGATGTTAATTTTACAAGAACATTATTGGACATATTCTTAAACTGATTTAAAAGCTCAGGGGTGACGTTGTGGGAACGTTCCCTGCCAGCTGGGTTACCACGGTGTCGTGGTCGTAGATGCTGATGATGACGAGCGGCGGGTCCCTCTGCAGCTCCTCCATGGTTCCCTCCAGCAGAACCCTGTCGAACAGCAAACACTCGCTCCAGGTGGGAGACAGAGTGTCGGACAGCACCTGAACACAACACACAGCGGCAGGTCAGACCACCGCTTTAAAGCTGCTTAGGCTTTAGTAACGTGACGGCGCTGAGATCCGTCCGTCGCCTAAAGACCACAAATATAACAGGAAGTCTGTCTTTTATCAGGCAGGAACTGATGAAAGACACAAACACTGAATATTAAGATATAAAACCAAACAATGAGGGTTACAGACAATCAGCCAACAGTTGAAGTGAATCTAAATAATAAATATCTTCATGNATCAGCCAACAGTTGAAGTGAATCTAAATAATAAATATCTTCATGCATAATTTTGTCACAAACATCATCACAGTTCTCTTCTTTTTAAAGAGACGTTTGCTAAGTTTGATGCATGGAAATCTGAAATCAGTGCTAAAATGAACAGTTCAAACTGCAGGCGTTTTTTTGTTTTGTTTTGTTTTGTTTGTTTGTTTGTTTGTTTGCTCCTGACCTGTTTTTTTTCACTGTGGCTTCATTTTTCAAGTCCTGCTCCTCTACAGAAATGCCTCCTGTGATGTCTGACGCAATTACAAAGGATTTTAGTATTTATTTTTTCAAAATTGCAAAAAAAATAACTGGAATCAACACTTTCAGCAGGTGTCCACAGGTGTAGCCAACACTGGAAAAAATCTGATTAAACAACAGAGAGGCACACGTGAAACGATTCGCTACTGGATGAACAGAAAGTTTTAAATCTGTTGCTTCTCTCTGTTTTTTACAATCTGGTGATTCTTTTTAGATAACTTGTCTTTCAAACCTGTTGAGCACAGTTCACTACATCAAGGTCTCAGAATTGTTTTTTTTTTTTTTACAGTATGTGTCCAGTGTGCACAGTTTATTTTTGGCAAATCCGTAAATGAGACACGTAAAACAAAGAGATTTTGACAAAATATCTCGATTTACGTCTACACTTAGTTAAATTCACTGACAGAAATTAACTTTGTAGATGTTTCACAGACCATCAGAAAGTTGAAGATGTAATATTTTCTTCTGTTTTTACAGTTTCTGGCTGATAAATCGTGCATTTTTTAATAGATAATGTCTTTGAAACCTGCCTGTCTGTGGGTTTTGGGCGTCAGACGGTTAGATGAGCCATAATTAGGATAAAATATTTCCATACTTGCAATACATTTCTCTAACTTAAGAAGAAAGAAAATAACACTTAATTTAGAACGAAACCTGAGTTTTGTGTTTCAGACGGTTAACCGGTAGGACGGCTGTACGTACCCTGGTCACCTGACACTGTGTGGAGAAAACCACTTTGGCAAATGNAACAATGAAGGTTTCAGACGATCAGCCAACAGTTGAAGTGAATCTAAATAATAAATATCTTCATGTGCAATTTTGTCACAAACATCATCACAGTTTGCTAAGTTTGATGCATGGAAATCAGAAATCATTGTTAAAATCAGTCCTTAAATGAACAGTTTAAACTGCAGGCATTTTTTTTGTTTTGTTTGTTTGTTTGTTTGCTCCTGACCTGTTTTTTTTCACTGTGGCCTCATTTTTCACTGCAATAAAAAGTCCTGCTCCTCTACAGAAATGCCTCCTGTGATGTCTGATGCAATTAGAATGGATTTTAGTATTTATTTTTTCAAAATAAAAAAAGAAAAAAATAGAATTAGCATCTTCAGCAGGTGTCCACAGGTGTCGCCAACACTGGAAAAAAATATGATTCTACAACAGAGCGGCACACGAGAAGCGATTTGCTCCTGGACGAACAGAAAGTTTTAAATCTGTTGATTGTCTCTGTTTTTTTGCAACTTTTGACTCAGACAAATGGTGTAAATGTGGTGATTCTTTTTAGATAACTTGTCTTTCAAACCTGTTGAGCACAGTTCACTACATCAAGGTCTCAGAATTGTTTGTTTGGTTTTTTTTTACAGTATGTGTTAAGTGTGCCCAGTTTATTTTTGGCAAATCCGTAAATGAGACACGTAAAACAAAGAGATTTTGACAAAATATCTCAATTTACGTCTACACTTGGTAAAATTCACTGACAGAAATTCACTTCACAGATGTTTCACAGACCATCAGAAGGTTGAAGATGTAATATTTTCTTCTATTTTTACAGTTTCTGGCTGATAATTTGTGCATTTTTTAATATATAACGTCTTTGAAACCTGCCTGTCTGTGGGTTTTGGGGCTCAGATGGTTAGATGATTAGGATAAAATATTTCGATATTTGCAATACATTTCTCTAACTTAAGAAGAAAGAAAATAACACCTAATTTAGAACGAGAGACTACATGTTAAAATGGAAGCTTTTTGTAGAATAAACATGTTTACATTTGGGGGAGATTGAAGCTAACATGAACAAATAAAACTGATTGCCTGTGACAAACAACACAAAAAGTCCTTGAAGTTTTGTCGTGTCACTGTTGCTGAAAGCTGAGTCACTGATGGCTTCACAGTTGCAACGAGGAACTCAGAATTTTTTGTTTTTTACAGAATCTGGTTCACACACATGGTTTGTTTTTGGCAACTTATTAAATGAGACATGCAGAATAAAGTGATTTTAATAGTATAGCTTAGACTTGGATAACTTTTCTGAAAGAACGATGTGTCACAGGTGAGGAGTTTGAAGGCTGTCAGAACTATTCTTTCTCCTTTTCCAGTTTCTTGTGTATTTTTTGGTAAATTTTTTTAAAGATGACATGATCTTCAACCTGAGTTTTGTGTTTCAGACGGTTAAACTGATGGGACGGCTGTACGTACCCTGGTCACCTGACACTGTGTGGAGAAAACCACTTTGGCAAATGGGTCAGAGAGGCCGTTGTCGTCGGCAGCCAGCAGGCCACGCCCCTGGTACAGGTGACACCGGAGCTGGAAGTACCTGCTGTCTGCAGAGAGAGAAACGGAACCGCCTTCACCTCACCGGGACGACTGAAGCTTCACGACCGACGGTTTAAAATAAATCAGAAAATAAACGTCCAGAGAAACCTGCAGAGACTCACCCTGACAGGACAGACTGATGGGAAGCTTCCTCCTCCCTCCCTCAGCCACCAGCCTCCTCTGATCCTCCTCCTCCTCCTCGTAGACCGGAGTGAACTCCTCTGGTAAGCAGTTCAAGGCCTCTTTGCTGTATTTAACAGGGCCGAGCCACAGGTAGACCTCCAGCTTTGCAAAGATCTCACTGGCTGCACCTCCTGGAGACTAGAAGGACGGAGAGACAGAAGAGTCGGAAGATTTTACAGGCTGAAGGTTTAGGAGTCAGAATATCAGACATTACTGGTGATTGCACTGATAAAGCACTGATCGCTGTCAGTGGGTTTAGAGACAGAATGGCAAACATAGAAACAGTGATACCATCTGGTTTAACGCTGCACATCGTTGATCAATTTAGAGGCAGAAATAAATTGATGAAGGTGATTGTTATCCATGATTTCAGAGAAATATCAGAGATTTATTTGTTGTAAAAATCCAATGATTCTCTGTGAGCAAGCTTCATTTTTACTTAAAAAAAAAAAAATTATTCTGGTGACACCTGTGGAGACTTGGAAAAATATTGGACAGCCATCCATCCATTATCTATACACAGCTTAATCCTCACGAGGGTCATGGGGGGCTGGAGTCTATCCCAGCTGACTCAGGGTGAAGGCAGGTTCACCTGGACAGGTAACCAGTCTATCACAGGGCTACACTTAGAGACAGACAACCAAGCACACTCACATTCACACCTACGGACAATTTAGAATCACCAATTAACCTCAACATGTTTTTGGACTGTGTGGGAGGAAGCTGGAGAACCCGAAGAGAACCCACGCTGCACGGGGAGAACATGCAAACTCCACGCAGAAAGATCCCGGGTGTCCTCACCGGGACATGAACCGGCGACCTTCTAGCTGCAAGACAACAGTGCTAACCACCGAGCCACCTTGCAACCCATCAATGAAAAATAAATATGTTTATTTTGTTCTTTTAATGATTTCTGTCTTTTAAACTGTGTCATACAGCACAGAAGACATGTCTCTCCTTCTAGTCATGGTTGTGTTGTTTCCTTACCTTCATGTAGAGGGTGGTCACTCGGCCACAGTCCCGCCCCCTCTGCTCCTCCACCAATGAGAACATGATGGAGTGGGCGGGGATCCTGACGTAGGCCAGTCGCTTGTTTCCACTCAGCAACCAGATGAAAGCGTCTGGGATTGTGTTCTGGGGCTGGAGAGGGAACGACGAGGAGACGTCAGACCTCAGATAAACTGTACAAACTGTTGTTGTTGACATGCTTGTGGTGACCTCTGACCTCTGCAGCCAGCAGGCGGAGTCTCTTCAGGAGTTTTCTGCTGTCGTTCAGCCGCTGTTTGGTCGTCCGTCTGGTCATCCTCCGCCGGGCTCGGACCGCCTGACGGGCCAACAGAACCTGGAGACAGACAGTCGGATAGGGACAGATTTGGTCATGGTATTAAACCACCTGCTGGGCTACACATCATGCCCCCAACACGGAAAATTTAGCTTGAATTTTATTACTGAGTTTAAATATTTGTAGCATCTTCTAAAAGACATAAAGAAGTGTAACAATAATTCAATACGTGCAATAAATTATGTTTAAAATCTGGATGTATTGAAACTAGAAATGTCCCGATCATGTAATTTAGCCCCCAATATTTAGCATCAGCTAAAACTAAATCCCAATCTGGTAACATCTTTCCAGATAA